AAGACTCTGTGCTTTCACAGGATGCACTTGCAAATGGGGTGGAAGAGCCTCTGCCAACAGGCACAATTGGACCATGGTGGGGCTGTGTCTTTCAGCATTGCAGCCTGCCCTTTGAGAAAGTCTTGCAAGCTGGGAGAGTTCTTGAGGCTTTTCCCCCTGTCCTGCTCAGATGCAAGGATTTAACTGGCAAGAGTCCAACAACTATCTGCAGGTGGCTGCTGGTGAGGGCTGAGGTACAGCCTGGCTGATATGTCTCTCAGGGAAGAGCACTCCTGATAGGTAGGGAGCAGTCATGTGCTAGTGCAAGCTTTGCTGGTTGAAACAAACTCTAATTCCTTCATGACAAATAACAGCACTAGTGCTGCAGCAGAGATGGTGGCTCTGCATAGCTCTTGCAGAAGACCTGCAACCTTTCCCCTCACTTCTGATTTTCACCATGTTGGCAGATATCTTGGGAACTCCATACTGGCAGGGGCAGATGGGTCTTGTTAGAACTGTGCTGGCAATGCTGATACTGTCTTTATTAACCAGGATGGTATAGAAGGCACTGAGTGAGTTTGTAGAAGACAACACCAGGCTGGGATGAATTCTGATGGGCCTGGGATTCCCGGTGTTCTTGGCCGCTGGGGCTTGCAGTCCCAGGCAAAGAGAAGCCAACCCAGGAGGAGGCCACATGGACAGGAGAACTTGGTTGCACAAAGGGGACAAGGCAGCGAGTGCCTGGGGTGCTGTCCTGTGCTGCCTGACCCAGAAAGCCTTGTGGAGCCACAGTTGAACATGAGTTAGCAGTGCCAGAAGGTTGCTAAATAATCCAACAAATCTCTGGCTGTGGGAGCAGGAGCATCAGAGGTCAGCATGTAAAGTCATCCTGCCACCGGCAAAGCAAGCTAAATAAATGTGTCCTGCATCAGGCACTGTGCCCTAGAAGGAGAGAATGTTGGGACAACCCAAAAGGAAGTGAGGACCATAAAATTTAGCTAAAAGAATGCAAGGTGTGTGCTAAGCTAAGAGCTGATTCGTGGTGGGGGGAAAAAATGAGGAAAGGACAAGACTGGATGGAGAAAAGAGATTATCTTTGGCACTGGACGAGGCATGAGCTTGTGTTGCAGCTAAAGGAGAGTTAGGTCGGCCCAAAGCAGGGCACCCAGGGGCTCCTGGGCTGCAGGAGGGACGGGGTGTTGCTGCCCTCCGGTGGCTTCCGCCTCACTTTACACCATTGTTGTGAAACAAAATTGCCATCTCTTGTAAAGAAGCAGGATAGGACATCTTAACTATATGATGGAACAGCTTAAAAACAGAACCCAAAACCCTCCGAGGTTCCCGCATGCCCAGCCTTTGCGCTGTGCTGACAACTTTCCTGAGAGCCTTTGAGGGAGTGTGTTTCCTTAAGTTAAAAATGGAAACCAAGAATTATGTCAATGCTAGAAAAATTCTATATTGTCAAAATAGGATTTGTACCTGAGTCCATAGCAAGCTAGTGAAAAAGGTTAGACTTAACTCAAGTTCAGAGGTTGTTGCTTACAGGGTCACAATGATATACCCTCCTCTCAGGCACCTCTAAGATACATTCTGTGTCACTGAAAGAGTTTTGTTATGAAACAGGTTGAGTGAAAACACCTCATCCCTAGGCAAACTTTTGCTGTTTTGTTGCTCTCACTTGCCCAATGGCTTCCTGCAGTGTCTAAAATAAATCTCCATCCCTGCAGTCACACAAACAGATTATCTTTCTTCATGATCTTTTACTCAGCAGAACACCATTACTGTGTTCTTTCCTGTTCCTTACCTCTGCCTCATGACAAATTTCTAGATTCACCTCAGTGCGTTAAAATCTGCCCTTATAAACAAGCCAATGAAAAAGAGAGCACGAAGCCTGGGTTCAAACACCCCTCAATACAACACACCAGATCAACAGAATTAGGTGACTTGGTCAACAGTTGATGTGATCAGGGCTGGTGTGGCAGTTCAGGTTGGCCAGACAAGCTTTATGTCTCAGTCATCAAAAACAAATGGCTTGTAAGTGTTTCATACCATGCCACGTAGATAGAAACGGTTTAAGGTTCTTTTAAAGCAACTCTGGCTGCAGAAGGTCTAGAGTGAGGGAAATGTTCTACTGTAAATGCAGGGCCCTGTAGTGGTTCTGGTTCCGTAGGATTTTTGTTGGCCTCTGGTAGTGAGCAATCTTGTTGAGAGTCTGTCTACTTGGGGAATCTTGGTGCAGTGAGTGGTCAGTCCAGAAATCACTCCCATGCTGTATTTTAAGGCATTTATTGTTAGGAAAACTTCTGGGTTCGTGCTTGTTTTGCCCTGACATGCTGAATCTTGCTGTAATGATGGTTTCTCGTTTTGTAAACAGTCTGGGGGGGAAATGGACCTCAGCACAGAAAAAAAGAACGGAGAAGAGAAATGATGATTGCTTGTTTCCACAAGAACTGAAGTTTGGTGAATAAGACCCAAGGGATGGAAAGGAACAAATGTGAATGTGTGATGGCACAAAGGTGCTGTCAGATAAGACAGCAAATATTTCTGCTCCAGATCATTTATATCAAATGCTACTGAGGGTAATATGCAATATGGCAATTTGTTATCCTAGGGTTTGGGTCACATCTGACATATCTCCATGCACTGACTGTAAAACACTTCTGGCTCCTGGCAATGATGTGCTTGTAACATTTCACAAACTGGAGAGACAGCTCAAGCCCCACCTAGATTTCCCTCCAGAACTGAAGTATGCATTAACAGTACAGTTAAAATGTACAGACTGAAAAGGACACTTTCACTGATCTGCATAAATGAGTCACGCCAACCTGCATGCAAAACACTGGGTGTGTTTCCTTAAGTATAGGGTGCTCTTTGTTCTGCCTTGTGATAGGCTGTTCAAATTCAGGTGATAAGATGAGATGACTTTGGGGCCAGCTGGGTGACTCAGTTTTCCATAACAGAAGGTTAAGGTTGTCCTAGCTCTTGCTGTCTGCTTTGTGACTGGGCCAGCATGGAGTCAGTACACCTGTGATGTACCTGGGCTGAAAAAAGACATGAAATGGTGCTGTGCTACAGGCAATAGCACTGAAAATTAAAGGACATGTTCCATCCAAGTAGCACCTTAACACTATGATCCATACTTTTTCACATAGGTGAGTATTCATTATGTGGTCACATGGAATGTGAACAGATGCCTGGATCTATCATATGGTGTTTCATGGAGGCCTTGTCCCTCATTGTTGTAGGTACTGGACACCTCTGCACATGGTCTCCATCTCTTCACTCCATTGACTCTATTCCTCTTGCTCTCATTTGGCTAATGAGTAATAAAATACAACAGGTACTAACAATACTAGAATCTGTCCAAGGATCCAGCCAAGTCTCCAGTGACCTGCCAACTGCAGCTCTCTTGCTGCCTTTTGACAGTCTGGTCTTGCCTATTATTCAAGTGGCTGCTAAAGGTCATTATCAGGTGGGTGACCAAAGGCAAGGACCCTGCACACCTCCGTTGGCTTTGACACCACCCATATGAACTTGATAGTTCAGACAAAATACTGACTTGTGCCCTCTGGTGCTGCAGGTACAAAACTCATGTTGCTTCTCTGGATAAAGTCAGGAAACACCACTATCAGTACCTTTGGAGAAGTACCTCTTTCAGGTTATACACTCAGACTTGAAGAGGGACCAGGCTTAGGCTATACATTTATTTACCATTTTGCCTCAGGGGGGAAGCCCACTGCTTCCATTTTTCTCTTCCACAACATGGACAACACCACTTCTGTGAAATGGGGCCTTTGGCTTTTTGTAGCAGTATGACTGCCATCCCTCTCCAGACATTCCAGACCCACCTAAGATGTTTTCCAGTAGCAATGCTCCTACAGTAGTGTCCTCCTGCTCCTCCTCAGTTCTTCTATCAGTAGTATCATCCAAAATGTCCTGCCTGTTACCTTAGAGTTAGGCCACAACCTGGCCTACCCCTGCAGCGCTACAAGCCTCATGGCATCCTCAGGGCCTGGTATTACTGCTCTGCTGCTTGCTGGTGGCCAACAGATGAATATCAATACTGCCTGGCTAATTTTATTTACAGTATTGTCTAATGTGAGCCTAGTTTTTCTCAGGCTTGCCTTAGGACAAGCAGGTATGACAGAGCTCCTGGGAAACCTGCAAAAGCAGAGGAGTCCACTCCTGGTTTCTTTAATGAAGACTAGAAATTTGTTCCTGTTTCCTATTCCTGGTTATAGCAATGAGATGGCAAAGAGGAAGCTGGGGAAATTTGTACTGGGATCATGTTTTAGGCCGTAAACCAGCTTCTTACCAGCAGCATGCCCAATGCTTGCAAGGAAAGCGAAGCCAGAGAGCCCAGCAGTTGTGGCAGTGCTGCTAGCCTCCAGCTCCCCCTGGTGACAGCAGCTCTCCCCTAGAGAGAGTTTCAGCTCTTTGCATCCAAAACGCAAAGTTTCCACCATCCCTCCTGTTCTGCATTCCTGTCTGGCTCTGCTGGACCCTGTGCCCAGCTGAAGGCTCTCCAGGAATATCCAGTCCTTTTCTCTGGACAGCATTTGCACTGGGATCGCAGTCCTTGTACAACCCAGCTGGGGATGCACCTGGAGCTAATCTGGGCTGCCCCAATTTAATCGGGACAGCCCATTTAAATCTATTTTCCTTTCATCTCCCCTCTCTGCCCATCTCAGCAGATTTCCCCATCTCTGCCCATCAGGTATCTCAGTTGGGAAGCAGAGAGCATCTCCTGGATGTATCCATGTTCCTAGAAGAATAGGACTGACAGCAGCCCCTAACAATGGGTAGTGCCAGCCCTTGATGAGTGTCACAGCTCAGCTGGTATAAAGCAGCTGGGATGCGGGCTGTCTGTGGGCAGCTGGTGCTGTGCCCTCCCCTAGGCTCCTGAGGCAGACGGACTATTTTGCTGTGGCTGATTTGCTCTCTGCTAGCTTAAAACTCCAGCCTGGACAGGCTGCCCCAGAGATCTCAATTTTAAAAGTATTTCAGTCACCAGTGAATAGACATGAGCTCTTCTCACTTAAATAGCAGGGCTGAGAGCCACTTTCCAGCCTCCGAGGAGCATGAACTGGAAGCAGTGGGGAAGAAAGCTTGGGATAATCCTGTTTACAATGGCTCTCCCTCAACCTCCTTGAAGATCCGAGCCATTTACAACCCCAAGTCCATTCTGGAGAATCCCTATGAGAACTTTGATGAGATGGGAGACCCACTGCCCTGCCAGGAGCAGCAGAACAAGGCTGTGGATGGGAAGACAAGTCCTTTCCCCAAATGCTGCTTCTACATCTTCAGAGGCATCCGAGGTAAAGGTGGTAATAATTTTGGGGAACAGTGATGAATGTTGGGGAAGGGGAGGCACGCAGAAGGAAGAAACCCCAGGGTATCTGTATAGCCTGGGAACCTGCTCACTATAGACTAGCATTACTGGGAGATCATCTTCAGCTGACTGGGAGGAGGATCCTTATTCCATGTGCCTTGCTTCAGCTCCAAGGTCTCTCCTGTTATCATTCCTAATGAGGAAGAGGTACATACAGACTGAGGGGGGTGCTCAAAGTCGCACAGTGAAGCTGATGACAGAATCTATGGCAGAACTTAGGATATCCTGTATTCACTGCAATCATCAATTTGCTAATGAGAATATTTCCTCTTTATAGGAATTCCACAAATAGAGTAGTGCCCCCGCTCCTAACCTGTGAGCTGACATAAATGTCCACTGGAGAAAATCTAGAGCTGTCAGGACTGAAATACAGATGACAGCAGGAA